TTATCCGAGATTCGCAGATGCAGGTAAAATCGGTGCGCGAACCAACGCGATGCACTCTCGGATATACGAAGTTTGTTATTGGTCGCGCGATATATTTCGCGTAGATAAAACAACGACATGGCGGGGAACACATAACTCGTATTAGGAAAGTTTGCAAATTACTGATTCGACTTGCAACGTTCATATGCGCAATAATGCGCCTCAGGTCTCCGTGATAGACGATCGGTCGGACAACGCGCACTCGGCAAGTTAGTTATGCGTACAAGATGAGCAGCTTTCACTGGCGAGTATCCATGCGATTATATCGATGCCGAGTGGATTCGTGACGATAAACGTGATCGTCAAACAAAACCGATTTGAAAGTTCGTAAGCGTAAGCAGACCACGAGTATGCGACCCGCGCGCACAGTCGGATTGCAACTCGTGCGAGAGATGGAGTATCGTAATGGCTGCACAAGGCCGCAGTTATACGATCTCTGGAGACCGAGGGAAGAATACATTTCCGACGTAGCCCGCGAGATAAATCTCGATACGTAGTTTCCGTGAAACGAGTATTTGCGACAGTAACATTTTTGTTCTTTGTTGAAGATGGCCGCAGGCATCGTGGCGATGCTGTAGGCGGGGATGAGTGTGCTGTGCAAAATTTTTAAACGAATTATCCTGAACGATATGACCCACGTTAGATTCCGAGCGACATGTGTAACCCTGCATAATTCACTGTCAATCGATACACTCCTAACGTGCATCGTGATCGTTACCGTAACTATTAATATAGTTAATGGAAGCGACCCAGTTTCGGCATAATTAATAATGAGTAACGATAAACTAACGACGCTTCGTTTAGATTAATTGAATTACCCGAGTCGTGATCGTCGTAGGTAGGATGTATCTTTTCTCAGATCGTTGCTATCTCCCGGAGATCCGGTCTATTCGGGGGTTCGCGATGTATCATACTTGTCCCGGGGCTGATGGCCGGGTCGAGCTTGCCCGCTAATCCGTCTTCGGCCGCAGTTACGAATTCCCGTTGGGTCACGTTGAATGCGTGCAGATTAATGCCGCGGATCATATTTCAGACGTTGGCCTAGTAGCGAATAGCCGAGCCAGTTAACAAGGATCAGCTCTCCTCACCGGTTGCCGTACGATCAGTCACTCGGTTGATTGCACGGAAGATTATCCGCTTATCTAACTCCCCGCTTCGGCCCACCGTAATCGCCGGTCGCGTTCTCGTTAAGCCTTATAGCCTGCATTATATAACGAGTATAATCAACCTAGCGAAAAATCTCCGATGGAAACGCGGGAACGTCGTTACGTCTATCAGTGACCTTTGGACGAACCCCCCGACGTTACATGACGACGCTTTTATTTATAGCTGATCTCATCTCTCTGCGCGATGCAATGCTCGATGGTAATGCCTGCGGAGGCGGTCTTTTACGGTGCAAGCGGTCACGTAGGGATTTATTCGAACCAATGAGTCACTCCGTGAATACATTAATTCTTTCGTATTTCTGGATGTTGAATGGGATTTGCATGAGATTTTCAACGAACGCGTAACAAAAGAATATATAAAATCATCTAAGCGAATTACACAAAAACATTCGAAACGCAAATCCTGCGTCACGCGTAAAACGTGGGGTTGAAATGTCACTATTTCAACCTCTTTTCACCGAACACCGGATTGTGTATATATACTCGTATGTACTTTTATTTATATTCTTCATGTGATAAATTTATAGTAAGCACTCTGTCTGTTCACACATTTGCCGAGATAAAATAAATATATATCCCGTATATATCAATAAAAACTGATGTCTGACTGCATACAGACCTATACTACTTCAAACCAATATTTCTCTTTGCCCGATAGATTAATCGCTATATTGATTACACGTTAATGCTCCTATTCGATAAATAATTCAATTGATAAAAAGCGACTTTGTTTTCTTCGAAAGATAAAGACGTTACCTAGCAACGCTAGACGACATTTAGATCGAAACTTGGGCTTTAAGTTCCGGAGGATGTTTCATCCAATTTTAAGTAGTAACGAAGTTAGGCGAGTGCTCGTAGGCGACCCCAATTGCGCGGGCTTAGTTGTGCACAGCGTGATATGGCTAGGTGGAGGAACAGTGATCGTGATTCGGGAGCCCTCGTAAGCTCGCTCATTCGCGGGGGAACGCGTCCAATATAAGTTAAGACGCGAGAGTCATCCGACGACGATCGCCTTCTGCACTTAACCTTCCCTTCGCATTCTCGCCTAACAAAGAGCTCGGCCACTTAACTCCCGAAGCAACAGCTAACCACTTCGTTCTATCCCGATTCCGCCGGTCGTGATGAGCTCTCTCTCTCTCTCTCTCTC